GAGGCTCTTCAGGCTCGTCTCAAGGATACTGAAAATGCAGCTGAAAACATGTTAGGTCCAGAATGGAAAAGAGATGGTTATACCGGAAGAATCAGTGTGTTCCCAAGGACAGTGTGTTCACAGTGAAACCAAGAAAGAACTGGAGAAGATGTTGAAATGTAATGAGGAGCACCCTGGTTATCTTGCAAGTGATGAGATAACTATGGTCCAAAAGAAACTTGAATCCCAAGCAGTAGAATAGAAGTAGATCCAAGCTTGATTAGGGATATTTGGCACCAAGTCTATAGAAGACATTTCTTAAAAAACAGCTCTAAATCACCGTAACCTTTGTTGAAGAGGCTTTTATTACTAACAATGGCATTTTGTAGATTCTGAGTAGGAAGGTAATGATGTTGCCCTGTTTTGGCGAATACAATGTGTGCTTGTTGTCGCCTGAATACTTTAAGGCAGCAACTCCCAAACACTGAAGTCAGGCAATTAAAGAAAAATGTTAAAGAGGTATTGGAAGATTTTGCTGAGGATAAGGAGAAGAAAGTTAAATTGCTTACTGCTAAACGAGTTTAATTGCCTGAAGACTTCAAGAAAGTTAGAGAAATTCAAGAAAAACTTGATGCATTTATTGAAGCTCTTCATCAGGAGAAATAAATTGTAATAAAATTCTACTCATAATATGATCACCTCTGCATACATCTGAAGAAAGAAAATGCCAAAGTCTTTTGTTCTCCCTTTTTTCTTCTGCTGTTCCACCTTCTAAACATAAAGTCATAAAAAAAATTTTTTAAATAAAAAAATAATAATTAAAAAAAAGAATAATGGTCTTTCTTCCCCTATTACCAGCAGTGCTTTCATCATATTTATTATTACACTATTACCATGGTGACAAAGCACAAAGACACTCTAAAAGAGCATCTATGTTTCACTCACCTTCGGTTTTCCCCCAAAATGCACAATGCAAATTGTGCTCCTCAGCTAATCAAGCATGTTATACTTAATTAGCATTATGAAATTTTATATGTCCCACCAAACCCTGCCTCCATGCCTTCCCTCTGATTAACAAAGTTCTAAACACAAAGCAGATAATCCAAAACTGTTGCTTTAGTTAAATTCAAAGATGAAAGAACATTGTTACTGTGACTATAATCCATTCATAACAGAACAGATGTGAAACACTTTTCCAATAAATGCTCTAAACTGAACAATAGTGAGGCATCGTGGATATTCTGTCTGATTATGGGCTCCATGGTGGCAGAGACCACATCTGCCTTAGTTAATGAAGTGCCCCCAGGATTTGTCTGACACATGGAAGGTGGCTATTAAACATTCACTGAATTATTCATTGACATGGTCATGTCCAAACCACCCGGGTGAGTGATTGCTATAAACAGAACCACTGTAATTACATCCAAAATTTAACTTTTCAAGGAACAGTGAGAACTTATTATCTTTTTTTTTTTAATGTTAATTACCATTCAAGGAAGGAGTTCTTTCCCTAAGAGTCTCCCCTTTAGGAAGAACTGCTTAGTGGAATGCTCCAGCTATCTACAATGCCTTTAGTATCTGTGAAAGCTAATCTTTTTATGAAACCTCAAGAACCAAAAGTGAAGTTACATCCACTTCCAAAGTACTATTTGCTACAAACTGCCAACATATTTACATATTTATTTGTAGACAGATAGATGATAAACAGCTTTCTCCATTGTTCACTTCAACAAGCTTAGTAAACAATGCAAACATCTAATTAAGTATAAAGCCAAACAGAATGTCTCACATATAAAGATTGCCTTCTATTTCTAAGAGGGTTAGGCCAGCACTATATTTCTTCTCTTTCCTTAAAAATAAAATTGAAATGGTCTAAACTTAGTAACTAAATCATCTAGCCAGTATAATCACAATTATCACAACTTGACAAGCCCAGCTTTGCAAAGGATAACTTCTCACACACTCCATAGAAGTTAGAATGTACCTACCATCTTGGACTCTGAGAATCCCAGATAGAACTATCAGGCTTAGAAAAGTAAGGAGCGGGTGGGGCCGGGGGTGGGGAGTGGTGGAAGAGAAGAGAAACACATGTATACGCATGATAACCAAAATATTTAACAACTGATCTGGTTAACTGATCTGGCATTAACCAATCAGAATGGATGCTCAACCAATCACAACAGAAGCCAGCCATACAAACTAATTATAATTCTTTTTCATTTACCATTTATCAAATATGCTTTTAAATATTATCACTAATACCTCATAAGTGCAAAAGCACATCAGACAAGTAGCTAGCTACAGATGCCTCACTGAAGTATTAAGTAACAGGAAAGATGTTTACTACACCTCACAGTAAATGACAACTTTATAAAAGCAATGATCCAAGCTGAAACATCAATTCAAAAAATATATGCACAGGCAGCATATTGGAGGCTCTCCAGTGAAAACAAGGTGCAAGAGAAGTAGCTC